TCTACTCATGCATTCCTCCCAGCACATCTGTGTAACTGGGACCCTTCTTCTAGAGGTGACTGGGCAGATGATGGCAGCAGCAGGAATCAGAGTCTAAACCTGCCTGGTGAAAGTGAAATGCAGCAGGGTGCTTACGGGTGAGGGGGGAGGAAGAGGGCTATTTGTATAACTCTCTTCTCAACTAGAAGTATAATTTTCAAGCACTTATTGCCTCAGAACTTGGAGTGGTTTTTGTTCTATTTTAGAGTGAGTGCTATTATTTAATAAACAGACATAAAGGTGGAAATGTTAAAAAAAAAAAGAAGGAAACTGTTCTTTGTCCTTGCCTCTCAAAGTGTGGTCCATGGGTCAGCAGCACCTAGGAGCTTGCTAGGAACACAGAATGTCAGGACCCACCCAGACCCACTGAATGGGGAACAGACTCCCCAGGCAATTGGTACACATTAACATTCGAGAAATGCTGGTCTAGAGTATTCCTAATGACCCAAAGGGGTTGAGAATGTAGACCTGAGACCAGAGCTCACATTGTCTGTGGACAGCAGCTCTACATTGTCCAAAAGGAGAGTAAAAGCATCCCCAATGTGTTCATTCCCTGTGGAGCACTGGCACACATAACAGTTTATAATATCATCCCATTAATTACTCTCATACATACTTGCATGCTCTATATATCAACCAAAGGGAAGGAAGGAAGACAGGAGGGAGGGAGGGAGGAAGTGAGGGAGATTGAAAGAGAAGGAGGGAGAGAGGAAGAGGAAAAGGAGAGAAAGAAAAATCTCACATGACTTGTTTATTTTGTTTTATTTTGGCCGCACATCAAGAAACCTTTCACTTATAGAGCCTGTGATTTGAGCCCCCTGCCCCCCAGCAGCTACTCCCAGACTCACAACTTTTCTCCTACTTCCTCCAAAACTACAAAATAATGAATACTGAATACACTATGAACGTGACACACATAAAGGTATGGAACTTTACATAAGACATTTGAGGAATAATAGAAGTTGGACTGATGTGATGCTATTTTAAGGAGCAGATATGGAAAAGAGATAGTCAATGCCCTGTACAAAATCCAGGAATTGGAGATTTGGCTAAAAGGGCCCCAATTACAAGAGCAAATCATCTCTAACACATATGGGGAAATTCTTGCTGGCTCTGTCAGGAAGAAGAAAAGCTCACAGGAAATTAGCCTGCCACGCAGGAAACTTTCTCTGATATTTCCTGTCACAGAACAGGTTCATAAAGAGACAGAACATAAGGCACCTGACCGGGGAAGATACAATAAAGAGCTGTGGGAGGCAGCAGAGAGATAGGGAAGAAGAATGAACTTATTATCTGAATAAATAAAGGCTTTTATTATGGAGCAGGAGGTGTTTGATCAGTTGAGCTCACACCCATGAAGAATCAAGCAAAAGAACATAAACTTCTCTTAAGCTAAGAAACAGGTAGAAATTAAGCACAATTTTCTGTAGAGAGATGTAACACTTGGGGCTGACATTAGGGGTTGCAGACTGGTAGTAATTCACACTGTGGACCTTCTCCTGAAATAACTTTATTCAGTGAAATCTGGATAAAATAAACAATAATTTAGAAAAATCAATATTTGGGGGAAGGATGTAAAGGGAAAAGAAGACCTCTGTTGGCAATATTGAGGTGTACTTCTGGGCTGATTGCATGTAGTCAAGTTTCACATTTTGTTTGCCCATTCTGCTGTGTTCATTCCGCTGTCTGAGTCACTGTATAACAGGAATGGCACAGAAGATCAAAGTCAGCCATTTACTAAGGATGGCTCTGCTATGAGGGAGTGTGAAAAGTCGTGAATAGACTTCTCAGGGATAAGAAGGCATCTCTCTTTGTAAAACCTGCAGAAATGAGCAGACACTAACAGTTCTGACAAGTTCAGGATTTCACCTTTTGGGAAATAAAGAATCTTCCAGCTTTGTATTCCATGATTCTAAAATGCTGCACCCTTCTATGAGAATGTCTAAAAAAGTGTGTGATGACACTCTGCTGGAAATGTCTTCTGCTCACCTTTGAATTCATTATAAAAATGAGAAAGTTCTGTTACTGAAAATATTTTTAAAATACAATAGTTCTTAGCAGAAAAAATTTAAGTGAAGAAGCCAGGATAGTGGCACTCTATAAAAATTAATAAGCTCAGCATAATATTTCAGTCAGGGAAAGGCATCGCTTCTGAGACAGATGCCTGTAAATCTTACCGAAGCAGCATTGTTTTGAAATTTCCCCAGCCTCCGGAAATTGTATTAAGCACAGGAAGACAGCAGCACTAGAGGCACTGAATTCCTGGCCTGACTTTCCAGAGAGAAGCAGCTAGAATTGGCAATATGTACATTTTTTAAAATTATCTGGGCTGAATCATGTTTTTGCAGACAGATAAAGGAGTTTTCAGAATCTCCTTGCTCAGGGATTTGAGAGGTCTTGTTTACTGTGGATATTACCAGTCTTCGAATAGTATTTGGATGACTAAATTTTCTTCTTCTAAAATCCATTTCACCAAGTACTTTCACTAGTTTTCTTAGTTTGAGTTAAAAAGTGAGTGAATTTTAGAGGCAGATGAAATTACATTTATGTTTATGTTATTAGTAGCAGTAAGTAGTTTTTGACACAATGCTACTAGTCCTCATTCACAGAGTATTAGGTGTGAATTATTTCTTTAAACTCCTTCCAGAAGATACCCATATGTGGCTATCTTTATTATTGATAATGCATCTAATGATGAACAAGCTGATTTAAATGAAACTTACTTCACCGTCTCTTTTTAAAGGGGCAGAATAAATGCACAAGGGCAATTTTTGAAGGAAGCTTTTCTGTGCTCCAGTTTAAACTTTCGTGTTACATGTGACCTGACATTATTCCTGTTTAAATACATCTCATTTTTAATAAAGATGTTAATTATATATATACACACACACATATAAACTTGCCAAAAAACCCTAATACTTTGCTGTTCTGTAAAAATCAATTAAATGAGCACTTACCAAAAGATTTTTCTTTATGACAGGCTCAGGCACTCATTTTCAGATCTTTATTAGCTCTTATAAACAGATAATCCTGGCTAAATAAAGCAAATAGGTTCTTTGACTTGAGTTTGGACCCTCAAGTCCAAATGAATCAGATATTTTAAAGATGTTCCAACTTCCCTTCAGCTGAGATAGAAAATGATAGCACTCTAAAAGCAGAGCCTGGCAGAACACAGTTACATAAAATGCCTTTTCAATTTTTGCACTCTGTTACCTTTTACTATTATAGGGAAATGGTGTTATCGCCTGATTACCGAGAAAGCACACAAAAATCTCGCCTTCCAAATCCAAGCTGGTCCTTGACTAGTGGTGAACAAAGCCAGGCCATCTGCTCTGAATGTCATTACTACTTTGGCCATTTGGACATGGGATCTATCTTCTCTGCTTCAAAGAGAGGTTTAAAACTGAAAATTGAAATGAAATAAGAAGACAGGAAGAGACATTTGAACGAATAACACTTTCCAAACAGAGTCCCATTTGTTGGGTTATTATAATCACCATCATTTTAATTTCCATCCTGGCCACAGAGTTAACCTTTATGGCCCCCATTTTACAAAACATTTCAGTAAAAAACTTAATTCCAGAGTTTCTGCAGTAAACGCTTGGAAGGAAAACGGACGTGTGGGTGATATGAGTCATCAGTCACCCCCACCCTTCTTCCTGGTGATTCTCCATTGGAAAACCAGAAACACGGGCTAAGCTTGCTTTTTTTTTTTTTTTTTTTTTTTTTTTTTTTTTTTTAAAA